GTTGTCACAGTGTGTGTGTGTGTGTCTCAGTGGACCTGTGTGTTGTCACAGTGTGTGTGTGTGTGTGTGTGTGTGTCTCAGTGGACCTGTGTGTTGTCACAGTGTGTGTGTGTGTGTGTGTGTGTGTCTCAGTGGACCTGTGTGTTGTCACAGTGTGTGTGTGTGTGTGTGTGTGTGTGTGTCTCAGTGGACCTGTGTGTTGTCACAGTGTGTGTGTGTGTGTCTCAGTGGACCTGTGTGTTGTCACAGTGTGTGTGTGTGTGTCTCAGTGGACCTGTGTGTTGTCACAGTGTGTGTGTGTGTGTCTCAGTGGACCTGTGTGTTGTCACAGTGTGTGTGTGTGTGTGTGTGTGTGTCTCAGTGGACCTGTGTGTTGTCACAGTGTGTGTGTGTGTGTGTGTGTGTGTCTCAGTGGACCTGTGTGTTGTCACAGTGTGTGTGTGTGTGTGTGTGTGTGTGTGTCTCAGTGGACCTGTGTGTTGTCACAGTGTGTGTGTGTGTGTCTCAGTGGACCTGTGTGTTGTCACAGTGTGTGTGTGTGTGTCTCAGTGGACCTGTGTGTTGTCACAGTGTGTGTGTGTGTGTCTCAGTGGACCTGTGTGTTGTCACAGTGTGTGTGTGTGTGTGTGTGTGTGTCTCAGTGCACCTGTGTGTTGTCACAGTGTGTGTGTGTGTGTGTGTGTGTGTCTCAGTGGACCTGTGTGTTGTCACAGTGTGTGTGTGTGTGTCTCAGTGGACCTGTGTGTTGTCACAGTGTGTGTGTGTGTGTGTGTGTGTGTGTCTCAGTGCACCTGTGTGTTGTCACAGTGTGTGTGTGTGTGTGTGTGTCTCAGTGGACCTGTGTGTTGTCACAGTGTGTGTGTGTGTGTCTCAGTGGACCTGTGTGTTGTCACAGTGTGTGTGTGTGTGTGTCTCAGTGGACCTGTGTGTTGTCACAGTGTGTGTGTGTGTGTGTCTCAGTGGACCTGTGTGTTGTCACAGTGTGTGTGTGTGTGTGTGTGTGTGTCTCAGTGGACCTGTGTGTTGTCACAGTGTGTGTGTGTGTGTGTGTGTGTCTCAGTGGACCTGTGTGTTGTCACAGTGTGTGTGTGTGTGTGTGTGTGTGTGTCTCAGTGGACCTGTGTGTTGTCACAGTGTGTGTGTGTGTGTCTCAGTGGACCTGTGTGTTGTCACAGTGTGTGTGTGTGTGTGTGTGTGTCTCAGTGGACCTGTGTGTTGTCACAGTGTGTGTGTGTGTGTGTGTGTGTGTGTGTGTCTCAGTGGACCTGTGTGTTGTCACAGTGTGTGTGTGTGTGTGTGTCTCAGTGGACCTGTGTGTTGTCACAGTGTGTGTGTGTGTGTCTCAGTGGACCTGTGTGTTGTCACAGTGTGTGTGTGTGTGTGTCTCAGTGGACCTGTGTGTTGTCACAGTGTGTGTGTGTGTGTGTGTGTCTCAGTGGACCTGTGTGTTGTCACAGTGTGTGTGTGTGTGTGTGTGTGTGTCTCAGTGGACCTGTGTGTTGTCACATTTATTCAGAAGTTTCTCACACAGACTGTATATAGATGGACAATGCTATCCCCGAGGCCGAGCTCAATGAACCCCAAAAGGAAAGTGCTCATTGACGAAGCTTTGCTCTAACTCACACTCTTGTGTCATACTCTCTATGACTCCGATGTTTATATTTTCATTTGTTAATCCAGATATGAGCCATAAGAACTGACCAGATCCAGGTTTCCATGTCAGCAACACGTTTGCATCTGCCCCTGTTACGGTGCAAAGCTAACCCCTTCAGAACAAATAAAAGAACATCCAAACCCAAATAAAAAAACAACTGGATATCTTTCTATCCTTGCTTTCCCTTCTGTGCCTATAACCCTAAATATTGATAAAAGCGACATAAAAAACTCAAAATATCAATACATTAAAATTAAAATGTGTTAAAAGCTCAATTTATGATTCTATTGTTACTTGTTTGTGGCAGTTTTTAGCGGTTTGTGACTTCCTGTTACTTAAACGGCAGTAAAAGTTTTATTATTCGACTTCCACCGACGCCTGATCCAGAGACGGCACTTTTCCCTGCATTTCTTTTTTCCAATGTTTCAGCCCAAACACAAACCTATGACAGGTCATTTAGATCATTAATGAACGTAAATAATAAACTGGTATTATTCATGTGCAAGTGTGTTTGTTTGAAAGCAGCAACACACATTAGCATGAACACGTGTGTGCGGTGTTGGCCTGGTTTGGCCTGGTTTGGCCTAAGTTTCACTGTGTGGGTTTGAGCTTTAGCCTCGTTAATCACTGGCATGAAACTGCAGCGAGGACAACGTATATGGTGGAGGTAAGAGGAACGCACAACAGAACAACAGGATTCACTTATGAGTCTATGCGCCGCAGGACACACAACTTTATACACATGTATGGTCCACATAAGGTTAAGATCAGACATGATTGGTCTCATATCATTATCTTCATTTCTAATGTCAAACTCCCATCTAACTAATGGGCCACAACTTCCACGGTCTATGGGCAGTTTCAAAAATGGCCGCGGGGGCTGGAAAATGTGAAAAAAGCTGCACGAGCTCCATTCATTTAAATGAGAGACTTCTAAAGTCCACAGCGACTAAACTAGACTGGTCCAGAACACTCAGCATTGACACACATGTGGAACGGAGCTTTGGGCCAAGAGCCACTTTTGGACCATCCTGTAAAGACGTTTTCCAGAGGTAAGAAGATGCTTTACATTAGCATTGGCTAATTCTTATTCCGGGTCCACCCCCACAGGCCCGGGGTGGTACTGCAGCATGATCCGCCCACACTGGTTTTGATTAGTCAGGACCACAAAGCACAAAGATGTTTATACCATGTGGTCAACCAAAGAAGGACTTCAGATGAAACAGTTACATTTTTACTTGAGATATAACCAAAACTATCCATCCATTTTCTTCCCTTTAATCCATTTCTGGGTTGGGGGTGGCAGTCAGAGCTGCACCCAGTACACTCAGCACCAGCCCCTCACTGATCCTCCTGCAGGTGCTGAGTCCACAGGAGCTAACCAAAACTATTTTGTGGGGAATACTTTTATTTTGAAAGTCAGTTTATTTTGAAAGTGCTCTGAGTGTGATATCAATGTGGTTTAATGACATCATACTATTGCAGGACTGAGAGACAGAAGGGGCGGAGCTACATGTTTGTACCAGAAGTTATGATATGCTAAGATATTAGCATGGATGGATCGAAAGACAACTCCAGGTCTGTGACTGCTCAGGGAACAATGTGATAATATGGTAAAGCTAAAAAAGATCGATTTGCATAATATGTCTGTGGTCAATATTGTTTTTAACAATAGTTTTTTCAATAGTAAGATACAAATATTTGAATCTTTTTACTGTGGAAACTCGCCCTGTCAAAATAAAACACAAAGGCAGATTATACATTACCTTTGATAACATCGTGATAAACGATATAATGGATTGTATTTTTATAGGACAATCAAATATGATATTGGTAATCCCTCAATGAGTTCCTTCTTGATTCATAAAAAGCCTTGTCTCCACGACTGGAGTCAACAGTAAAGTGATATAAGTAAATATAAATCATTTCACTAATATTTTGAATCTGTTTCTAAAAACCTGTGGGGACATATTTATTTTGGGAATGACTAACAACATTACATTTGTCTCTGTTGCCCTGTCCTGTCTCAGATCCGTCAATGATCCGCCTCAAAGTAGTGAAGTTTATCGTTATGGGGATGTTATCTTCTCCAATACTTTATTTGCCAAAACACCCAGTTTACTTGGAAGGACTCAGGAAAGGTAAATATTAAATTTCTTCTTTGGAATGTTAAGTGTCAATATCTGATGAAAGTTAGGTTTAGGAAGAGCTGTCTTGATTAATGGAACAAGCCAATGGTTAGCTCGCAGTGACAGGGAATACCTGTCACTAAAATAAGCTTTTAGGGAGTCCTGTAGAATCACACTTTCACTCAGTCATATCCACATCTATCCCAGCGTCGTGCACAGCGTCGTGCACGTTCAGAGTCTGTAGTGCAGTCCTGAACACAATCCTGGAGAGCTCATTGCTTTCTGTTCATCCAATCTTCTCCCCATCCTCCTCCTTCACATCCTCAATAACACACCGCTCACGACTCTCCCGTTAACCCACTTACCGTGCTGGAATTACAGTAACTGGGCGTTAAGTGTATCTGATTACATTTTCAAAGTAACCTGCACTATTCCCATCGCCTCCCTCTCTGCCTCCCACCCGGCCTGAATCGTGCCGCTGCTGGAGTGAGCGTAGGACTGAGATATCTTTTTATGATAAACGAGGGGGAGAGGAAAAAATGCAAATGCCTCAACCACCGACGCAAATCTGAGATAGATCTGAATCAGGAACTCGGAAGAGAGAGAGGGAAGGAAATAATATACAACAGGGCTTTTCTTCTTAAGTCCAGTCGACGCAATGAAGCAGCTTTCAGCCCAATTGGAATCTGGACTGCTTCACTTTAACGAGACCGATTCACATCAGGGACAATTTATTTATTTGTGGATGTAAAACCAAAACAAGCGGACATCTGTCTATTAGTATTAGTATTAGTATTCCTCAAAGTGAACCTGACGTGGTCCAGTTAAAGGAAACACGGCCTTATTTATGTACTGTACGTATTATCCCTTGTTCCAATGAGAAGTTACCTTTAAATACAAAAGATCACAACTATTTCTAACATCAATTCACTTTTCATATATTATTTCTATCCCACTAAGAGGTAATGTGTGTGTGTGTGTGTGTGTGTGTGTGTGTGTGTGTGTGTGTGTGTGTGTGTGTGTGTGTGTGTGTGTGTGTGTGTGTGTGTGTGTGTGTGTGTGTGTGTGTGTGTGTGTGTGTGTGTGTGTGTGTGTGTGTGTGTGTGTGTGTGTGTGTGCTCCAGGGCAAAGAGGGAGGAAGAAAAATCCACCAATTTATTAATGAACAAAATAAAAATGAATGTACTCGTTCATAATCATAATGGAACAGCCTTTACCCATTTCATTCTCCGGCACCAGCGTCTCGATGGGCGGCTCCAGCTCTCCACTGTCCAGTAAGCAGCACTTGGCCTGGGACAGAAACATCCTGAGGCCCTGGAGAAGCTGCACCGACGTCACGCCCGGAGCCGAGGCCGAGGCCAGGGATTTCAAGGCCTCTCTTTGAGTCAGAAGAAAATCCTGCACCATTCCCCCGAACGTGGACCGCCGATCCCGGGACAGCTCCTCCACCAGCCGGGTTAGGCGCTTATCCGGGGCGAAGAAGCAGACGAACGCCTCGCTCATCCGGTGCATCCCGCCGCGGCCTCTGGAGCGCACCAGAGGGGGGCGCTGTGAGCTCTGGGACTGAGATTGTGACGCGATTTCAGAGTCCGAGTCGGAGTCCATGCTGCTGAAGGAGCTGCTGCTGTCCAGGTCTGCCAGAGAGGGAGCGGGACGTCTCTCCAAGGCCAGAGCAGAGACCTCGGTGCTGGACTGTCCCACTGGAGCGGAGGGGGGAGGGGTGGGCGTGTCCTCACCTGCCTGAGACAAAGACACAGGTAGATAATAATAGTGGTATATTAATTTCATCAAAAGACAAAAGTTACACAAACAAACCCAAACAGGTAAAGGACGGTAAATGAAATATACAGTTGAAAAAACTCAAACATTCGTACAAAAATAAGCTTAATGCTGTGGATGTTCGCGGTGGAGAGCTCCCAATGTCCCACTGTCGACGAGTCATTGAGTGGGGGGGCTTCCATCTTGTAGCCACCATATTTTTGGGAGCCGTACAACAGAACCCTTTTCAGTGAATAACGACCGCCACTCACTTTGCCAATCAGCTTTCACTATGTAATTAGTAGTTTTTTTTTTCAACAAAGACAAAAAGACAGAATGGTCTGGTCTGATCTTTTCACAAAAAAGACTGTTTTGATTGTGACCAACAGTTATGTACTCTTTAAAAGTGTGCGGTGGGTTTCAGTTAAAGTCACGATCGTTGTCCAGGTTAGAAATGGTTCAATCTGAGGAGACCACAAGATGAGACAAGATTTATTGATTGAGAGTTTTGTTTGTAGTTTATTAGTCGCTGATTTGAGGCTGAGGAAAGCGTGGGTCCGGTTCGATGATGTAGGCAGCCAATTTGAACTTCTGTTTAATTTTGTTTTTGCTGTAGCTTGTTCCTGTCTGACACCATCGAGTCTGGCCATAGTTTCATTCACAGGACCGTCCTCCGTGTCTCGCAGCAGTCTTCCCTTTCACTGCCATCTCTGAGAGGAGTGTGAGATAATAAATAACAATAATAATGTTCTCTGCAGGATGTCCACCAGAGGCCAGCCCTGCCATAACACAGTATAAAGTATTTTAGCAGTACTTTTGACTGCTTCTTACTTGTGCGGTGGGAGCAGCCATCATATCGTCCTCCTCCACAGAGCCAGGGGACACAGCAGGGGTCCTCCTCAGCACTCCGGCCCCAGCGTGGAGCCTCCTCTGTGGGTTGGTCTTCTGCAGCCCCTCTGCTCCGTCCTGGTCCTGGGACACTGGGGGAGAGAAGGAGCCTCCTTCCAGAGACAGATTCATGGAGGACTCGGACAGTCTCAGTCTCATGCTGCGTTTGAACCTGTGCCGCTTGTTGGAGGCGCTGTGGTTTGAGAGCTGCTGCTGCTGCTGCTGCTGCTGGACAAAAAGACACGTAGAACATAATCTAATTAAAAGAAATGATTAAATGTATGTTTGAATGCACTTGTCGTGTATAATGACATGTAATTGCTGTAAATTCCATAGTTGATTTATAAGCTTGAAATAAATACAATAATCAAGCAATCCGTTTTTCGAATGTGGTTTTACCGCAAATGGCAAATAAATTCTTAAATCTTCAAGAAATATCTCATTGTACTCACATTTATTTGGCCTTTGTTTAACTGTTTACTGTAAAACCTCATGAGAACACATATAACCTTCACATGTGTAAGTTTGTCTAACCTATTTTTGTATTTATTCTATTTTATTAATGTTGTCACTGCTGCATGCATTTATGAATCACATACTGTAAATACATTACAATACAACATTAAGTATGTAAATGAGTGTTATAACATGATTTAACCTGCTAAAAGTAGTGCATAACTTAACCCAGATTGTGTTCAGTCAAGTTTACATGATACTACCTCCTTACAGTGAATGAAACAGATAGTAATACTCTCTGGTTTCAATGCGAACCTTCAGGACCTCCATCTGCAGGAAGAGAGGGTTGATGAAGCACAGTTTGCCCTGTCTGCCCCGGGCCATGTTTAGGCTCCAGTCCTGGGTCACGCTCTTCAGGCTCTGGGACGGGCCCTGCTCCACCGGGCCGTTCTGGACTTCTGCGGCATTTGGGGAACTCCAGAAATCTGTCGACGTCAAATATGATAATGTTCAGTGTAAGGCTGCGAGGATATTAGTATTCTCACAGCAACGCCATGGTCTGGACTTTTATTAGAATTATGATTTGATTTTATTACCTCATCCGTGTCTCCCAGTGTATTTATATATATATATAGATATGTATACCATAGATATGTATACCATAGATATGTATACCATAGATATTTATACCATAGATATGTATACCATAGATATGTATACCATAGATATTTATACCATAGATATGTATACATAGATATTTATACCATAGATATTTATACCATAGATATGTATACCATAGATATGTATACCATAGATATTTATACCATAGATATGTATACATAGATATTTATACCATAGATATTTATACCATAGATATGTATACCATAGACATTTATACCATAGATATTTATACCATAGATATGTATACATAGATATTTATATCATAGATATTTATACCATAGATATGTATACCATAGATATGTATACCATAGATATGTATACCATAGATATGTATACCATAGATATGTATACATAGATATTTATACCATAGATATTTATACCATAGATATTTATACCATAGATATTTATACATAGATATTTATACCATAGATATTTATACCATAGATATTTATACACAGGTCTTAGTTCCTCTACCTGCAGTCTGGATGTACTACCTCCTAGATTTCTGAAGTCTGTTATGTGTAGTCTATTACCCTCATTGACACAAATAGTAAACATGTCTTTTTTATCTGGAACATTTCCAATGGCCCTGAAAAAGGCAGTCATTAGGCCCCTCCTAAAAAAGAGCAGTTTGGATGCTGCGGTACTTGAAAATTACCGTCCCATCTCAAATCTGCCTTTCATGGGAAAAATTCTTGAAAAAGTTGCCTACCAACAACTTACTGAATTTTTAATATCTAATGACTCATTTGACATGTTTCAGTCTGGCTTTAGACCACACCACAGTACTGAGACCGCTCTAGTCAAGGTAACAAATGATATTCGGCTTAACACTGATGCAGGAAAAGTCTCTGTTTTAGTCATGTTAGATCTGAGTGCCGCTTTCGACACCGTTGACCATGAGATTCTCATGCAGAGACTGGAGGACTGGGTTGGTGTTGCTGGTACCGCCCTAAGCTGGTTTAGGTCCTATCTAGAAGAAAGGAAGTATTGTGTGGAGATTAGAAACTATGTCTCAGATAATATGGCCCTGACCTGCGGAGTGCCACAGGGGTCGATTCTGGGACCTCTCCTGTTCAATATTTACATGCTGCCATTAGGTCAGTTAATTCAAAGTATGAAAGTGTCCTACCACAATTACGCTGATGACACTCAGATCTATGTCTCACTGACTGCAGGAGAGCATGGACCGGTGGACTCACTCCTTCGCTGTATCCAGCGGATCAGTGAGTGGATGCAATGCAATTTTCTCCAGCTAAATGCGGACAAAACCGAAATGATTGTCTTTGGTCCCGAGAAACAAAGAGAGACCGTCATTTGTCACCTTCAGTCTCTCTCCCTAAGGCCCTTAAATAAGGTCAGAAATCTGGGAGTAATAATGGACTCTGACTAAACTTCAATAGCCACATTGGATCGCTAACATCAGCAGCTTTTTATCATCTGAAAAATATTGCCAAAATTAAAAATATTGTGTCCAGGGCAGACTTGGAGATTCTTATCCATTCTTTTGTTTCCAGTAGGCTGGATTACTGCAATGGCCTGCTCACAGGTATCTCCAAACATGCAGTAAGACAGTTGCAGTATATTCAAAATGCTGCAGCCCGAGTCCTGACTAGAACCAGGAAGTACGACCACATTAGTCCGGTCCTCAGGTCTCTGCACTGGCTTCCCGTGGCCCAGAGAATAGACTTTAAAGCAGCTCTCCTGGTGTACAAGTCTCTCCATGGCCTTGCACCAAAGTACATCCATGATATGCTAGTCCCATATGAACCAGCCCGGACTCTGAGGAGCGCAGGGACGGGACTCCTGTTAGTGCCCAGAGTCAGGACTAGACAGGGGGAGGCTGCTTTTCAGATTTATGCAGCTGGAGTCTGGAACGGTCTTCCTGAGGATGTGAGACTGGCTGCCTCTCTGTCAATGTTCAAATCCATGTTAAAGACTTTTCTTTTTTCCCGTGCATACAACTAGAGAATTTTATCTTTTTAACACACCTTGTTATTTATTGTTGTAACTTTTTGTGTTTTTAACTATTTTATTGTTTTTAATTACTTGTGTGATTTTTATGTTTTTAAATTACTTATGTGATTTTAATGCTTTTTAATTACATATGTGTTTTTAATTGTATTTTAATGGTGATGATTTGTGCATTGTGTGGTGTGGACTGTGAGGCGCTTTGTGTTGCCCTGTGCAGGAAAAGCGCCCTATAAATAAAGATTGATTGATTGATTGATTGATACCATAGATATTTATACCATAGATATTTATACCATAGATATTTATACCATAGATATGTATACCATAGATATTTATACCCTGCTTTTCCCACTTTTGCCCGTCTATTGTCGATCCCACCTTTGATCCTGGATTTAGTTTAACAGTTTGGTTCCTTTTCCTGTCGCCGCATGAGCACATGAAAGGTTACAATTATTGCAACAAAGAAAACGTCATTTCTTAAATTGTTTCACAGATCAGACAAAGATCTCACAAATGTTTATGTAATGTGAACTTCCATCTTATGCTAATCCAACAAATTATGAATATTTTAACTCGGTCCAACGATGTAAACATAAGTCAGTTGAGTCGTAATAGCCCTCTTTACGTTTGGGTTCAAATAGAAACATGTCAAAAACAACTCTTGTTTAAAGGCTCATCTTGACGTTGCAATTGTCAAATGGATCAATTGGATATCAGTGGGTTGCAGAATGAAACAACACAATCGCCTCTGTCTTGTTTATGATTCAAAGGAGATTTAGTGTATTATACAAAAGAAATATTCTTGTTTAAGTACCATTTCAGCAGATTTAGAACTCTTTCACTGAAAAGGATGTTCCAGATGTGAGACCTGAGAGTGGCCAAAAATTCATGAATGAGAGCACTAACAAACGGATTTTATTGCTTAGTTAAATTTCTTGTGGATTCAGGGTCAGATGTACAGTAGAAACCGTTGGTACTGATGTGAGAAAAGATCAGTTCCCTGACCGGGAATCAAACCCAGGCCACTGCGGTGAGAGCGCTGAATCCTGACGACTAGACCACCAGGGACTGTGGTCGGTGCTGAAGGGCACAAGAGCAGATTGAAACAGTTCTGACTGTAAAAGGACGTGAGGCGCGCCGCAAGTTGAGACAATAAACACATTTGTTTGTACATTTGTCTCTGCAACTATCTATAAAAAAGTGCTCCCAATTTTGGAGTCCAGACGTTGCCAACCTAAGAATAACGTATGGTTTCCACGTGTTACAGGCCAAACAGGCAAAGTTGACTCATGTGGCTTGACCCAAACGACAGAAACATAAAAATACACGCCCACGAGCATCTTTCCCACAAACACAACATCATTTGGTAGAAAACACGGCAGTGGGTTAGTTTGGTGTTTTTGGCAGTTAGCGTTATTGAGCATGAGTCAATCGGACACGTGCTAAAAGATAACAATAATATATCATAATATCATGGCCCGTGCTGGTTGTACCTTGCCCCATGTGAGAGATGTTCTGCAGCTGGCGGTGCGTGGTGGCTTTGGCGATGGCGTCTGGGAGCGTCAGAGGAAAGGGCAGGACGTCTCTGTGGGAGGGAAACACAATATCTCACTATCTGTGTCAAATACATCTGTTTATCTGTGTATACCACTAAAGTAATGTTTCTTTACTATTTTTATTGTACTTTGATTATACATGATTCTTTTATTGGGTTGCCTTGTGCGTGTATGAAATGTGCTATACAGATAAACTTGCCTGTGCACCCTATAGATGTGGACCTGAGTGAGACGTGTGTCAGGAGAAGGCTACACTTATCACATACACTGTATTTTTTCAAACTAAACATTTTCACTGTACTTTTCCATCTTTTGGCACTGTACTCTGAAAATTCAATAGATCTTTTATGAGACTTTCTGTGAAATTCTGCTAAAACCGAGATGGCATCACCACAGACGCAGAAGTCAGTCCACTTGATGTTTTGGTTTTCTGAATTTTGGGGCCAACATTTCTAATGCTCACGAGAACTTGGATTTTGACTTAGTATAAAAACATGCGACTTCTGCTGCGGCACAATCCCAGACCAGGCGCCTCTTTTGTCATTTTCATTAATATTCCACCCAAACAATCATCTAATGAAGTAAAGTGGTTTTTTGACCCAATCGTTTGAGATCTGAAGTAAGTAAGTAGAACATGTTCTCTTGTCGTGGAGAAGCAGCAGCTCTACTCCGAGCTCCGCCCTCATAACGAAGCTCCTATTTCCATTCCTCTCTCTCTATACAGACTAAACTGTATCCACAATATTGTTTTAACCCAGGGTGGGATTTATTGTGTAGATTCAGATTCAGAAAAATTCTTCTGTCATAACGCAGAAGAAGGATACGGTAGGCAGGGACATGGCCACAAGTGTTTGTGACGATTGTATAAAGCGATGTCTCCTTTTTATAGTTTTAGCTTTATTTATTACAGCTTTGCATAATAACACTGGCATTAAGTCTGTCTATTCCAAGCATTGGGGGTTTAACGATCCATAGAAACTGCTGTTTTCAAAACATTACAACAAATTTAGTGTGTTTGACTTAAAATCCTGTCATCTTCTGTACAGAATCTGCACCCATTTACTGCCTACTTTATCATTGCCTATTAATATTGACCACAAGCTTATTTTGCCTGTGTACAGACACTGCCCAGACGACCATCAGACAGCGGAGGAGTTTCTACGGCCAATACAGAAATTTGGAAGTGTCTGGGCGGGCTGCCTTCCTCACATTCTCCTGCGGTCACCGGGTATTTTCAGACGCTTCATCACTTCCACATGGGTTTGGCCCTGTTATTGGTCTCCTTATCAAGGAGAAAAGGTCTCAAATAAGCAAAAGTGCAATGCAGTGCAGATAAATAATAAATATTAGTCACTTATGTAAATAGTTTTTTATTCTTAATTTAAAATCACAATGGATTGCGTACGCTCTCAGTGTAACAAGGATTATTCTAAAACAACGTCCATTGGATTTAAAATGCAATGATCATTATATTTATTATCCAAACATGTGGGATGCTCATTTTTTTTACCTTCTACTTCAAATTTTTGAGTTGATTTGGAATTAGAAACACAATTCTTCCTTCATAAACTGTATTTAAAACTTGCAACGACGGTAAGCATGGCCTCCACCAGAAAGTTGGCAATTTAAAAACCAAAACAATAATGGACCAGTATTTTCCCCCCTCTGCAGGAAAAAGTTTCTGCCTGCACATCACTCTAATGATAGCAGACAAAACTTCCAAAGAAAGAAAGTATTAGTCAGCCATCAATTGTGTAAGTCTCTCTAAGATTCAATAACAAAACTCTTCCTTATTTCCACTTTGGTCCCTGATTTGTCTTTATTTACAAATAGTACAAAACAAAACAGAAAATAATGTGATTTTCTGGAATTGTTTGTTCTCATTTTGTCTCTCAGAGTTGAGGTAAACCAATGATGAATATTACAGGCTTCATCATTTTTAAACATGTTATGACGACCGGCTAGTGGCGCAAATCCAATACTTGCACAATTGGTGGTCGACTAAATACTTCCTTACGAGATACGATCCACCCCAGTTATCAATGTATGCCTCAGTATACACCTAAACTCATCCAAATCCTAAAAAGAAAAATCTTACCATCGCCTTACAAAGGTCCGATACACTCTTTTCTTCAATGTTTCAAGCTCTATCCTATACACATGTGTGATATTACTGGTGTATGATTATCACAACACAAAATCAAAGCTTGTGAATTAAGAGCCCTCTCTGTGTAGAGGCTGAAGTAACCTCGACTCAAACGACTGATCCAGAGAAGGAGTCGCTCCTCTCCTGTGAGCCCGCCTCCCCCCGCCCTGCACGGTGACGTAGAAGCAGTCTTTTGTCGGTTATCACCTGACTTATAATTGCATACATAATAATTACTTTTTTCCAACAAGACAAGCAACACATCGAGCCCTATGTCCTCGATGCACAATCAGACCCTAGTTATTTAGTTTACAGAAGTATACAGCGAGTTAGCGTCACTACTTACAGATCGGGGGTCCAGTTACGTCTTTTACCGTGGAATAACGAGTTTCCAGATAGCCTTTTGATAAGTCCCAGTTTCCATTGTCCCTGTAGTTTCTGAACAGTCTCAGTGAAGTGTCGCAGATGAACCGTATTATAAATTCCATGAAGATGATAGATGAAAAAAGGCGCGGCCTTTCTTCCTCTAGGGCCAAATAGTGTGTCACATAGTTACACCCATAACACACTTCATTCAAGTTTGACGTGGCCCTTAGAGATCGCTGTATGCAAATGCCAGGCCCACACTAATGCCACTGATCCCATCTCTGCAGGGAATCGGCGCGCGGACAAGGCAGCGGCATACGCACCTCTACACACACACACACACACTACCTCACTCAAAGACGTTGATATTTTCTACTCCAGCAGAGACGCTGCTGTGAGAGGGGAATGGGGCTCAACGACGGCATGGTGTGTGTGGCTGGGACCAGACAGCAAACCGTGCCTACCACGGTATTTCTTCAGACAGTTTGCAATTTTAGCACATGGTCGAGACCATGCCTCAAAAGGAGGGATGATGTGTGATTTAATCACACAAAATTGGTATACAAAGGGGTTTACGGCATTTGCACAGAGATTCAGCCAAACATGCGCTATATGCCCCGCGCACAACCCAGGTAAGTCCCAAAAGTATCCAACAGGCTGCTCATCCTCCGCCCCTGCGCCCATTTCAACATGTCCAAAGGGACTTTGTTGAACTCACACCATGCCAAGGTAAGTAATACTGTCTGGGTCTGGCGGATCTCTGGTCCAAATGGACTGAAGTATTTGCAGGCATACACGCCACAAGCAACGCGGTGGTGAGTCACTTTGTAGCAAAAGTCATTGAGGAAGTGGGTGAATTTCTGGGCATTGATATACGTAAACACTGCAGTTACGCCCCCTGGTCCGGAGGCACGTGCGAGCGAGAGAATGGCACTCAAAGCTCTGCCGCTAGCCCCACGTTGGGCGCGGGACCCCCGAACAGAGATCTGCCAAGCACCTCTTTGTGTGATGACGACATGCTGTCCTATTGTAAGGAAATTAATGCACTTTTGTCCTCTATTTCTGCCCAGGTCAGGAGCGCCCTGCCACAGGCTGCGCAGGCGACTGGGTCCTGATGAAGGAAACGAGACGAAAGCATTGGCGGTCCAAGCGCTGGCTCGGCCCATTCCTCGCCCTCCTGGTGACGGACACTGCCGTTAAGGTCGCGGAGAGGACAACTTGGATCCACGCCAACCACTGTCGTGCGGTGCTGCCACTGAGGGCCATAGACAAGGACACCGAGGGCGCGGACGGACCAGGCCCATCCGCGGCTCCCTACGCTGAATAGGTCTGCCGGCGTGCGACCACCATCGGTGAAGCAGGCCAACAACAACACCCAGAGATTCCCAGCGTTCCCGAGGCGACCCCCCTTTGCCCAACTCCCCAGCCCCCGGACCCCAAGGCCTGGGAGCCATGAAGGCCCTGAGCGCTCTGCTCAGCTGCAGCAAGTATGCAGAGCTGCTGCCCATTCCAAAGATTTCTCCAGAGCCTGCTCCCTCTGGCCATAATGCAGATTTGAGCTCGGCTGGAGTGCCCCCTGGTGTCTCGTCTCCCGTGTGTCCGGAGGAGGTGGAGATGAGGGCTGCTCTACAGTTCCTGATGAGGCACATGGTGAAGCGTGCTGTCATGAGGTCTCCCATCAAACGAGCTTTGGGCCTGGCCGATCTGGAGCGTGCTCAAGCCATGGTCGCCACACCCCAAACCCCGAGCACTCTGCCCAACCGAGTGCTGAGGCCAAGGCTTCAACGCAAATAGAGTCTTGCCGCTCCAAGACCAAACATCGCCATGACCACTAACGCTCCACACACGCTCATAGGGAGCGGTGCCACTGACTGCGAGACGGCACTGCTCGTGAGTATTCCCGCGGAAAAGACTACCGAACGTAGACCGGCATGGGCCCTTGGACTGTTATGCTGGCCACACTGACACTACTTTCCGTGCTGACCGTGTTTATTATGTTAATATTGCCTTCTCTTATCGCTGTCCGGATCCATTGTGTTATTATAATGTGCTCTTTCTTTTATTGACAAGCATGTGTCTTTTCCTGTCCACTTTGGACAGCAATAATTTAAGTGTTTCAAGCTTGAAGGTGGTGTGATTACGATGCCTCTGGTATTTAACTGATTAATGCAAAAATGGTTTTGAATTATCAGAAGAGGGGAGTGTGGTGACAGTTTTTGGAGTAATTACATTAAAACCAGCCGCAGCAAATACACGGACGTCAAAGGCCTTTTATCAATGCAGACAACCTTCTGACGCCATGCTGAGCTTTGTGAAGGTCCCTGCTGTCTGTCACACCCTTGTGTCTTTCCGTCTTGCATCTGTATGACCTGCACTTCCACCATTGTCTGTCTGTTCACACCCCATGCCACTGCCACCACAGGGGATGGCGCCGGCGCTTCCTGTGCGCCTCCTCACCGGTGGCCCCCTCCGCTCCGTTGTGGGCGTGACTATCTTTGGTGTGTGTTTTGTATACAGGAAGCTGGGGGCTCTGGCCCCCAGAGCTGGGACATGCTGCTTTTGAGTGGATGTGCTGGCCCTCCGCACTGTGCGTTAACAATAAACTTACGCTTTTGATCAGACAAAGGACCTTTGAGTTTCCTCCTTCATGGGGTATATAATTCTATAACACCACAAAGACAGACAAAACAATAAGCACATACAGTACATAAAGACAGAAAGAAAAAAAAAGAAAAAATAAATAAATAAATAATAATAATAATAATAATAACAATAACAATAATAAAAATAAATAATAATACAAAATAAATAAATAAAAAGAAAAAGATTTTGCTCTTCCACACCATGCCCATCTCAAAACCTTGTACACATCCACTCCTTAGGTAACTTTGGGTACAGCTATTACTTTTATTTATTTATGCCTTGAACGCTACTTAAAGCAGTCACATGCCGACTTAAGGTGTGTAGCTAAAGCAGTTTTAACACTGGTAAGTGAGGAAATAGTTTTTATCGAAACTGGGAGATTGTTCCAGTCCTCAGGGGCTCTGTAGCAGAAAGCGTGTCTCCCAATCTCCTTATGTACTCTGGGAGTAATGAAGTGACATGCTGTAGATGTCTCAGTGCATATGAAGAGGTAGCTCTCACCAGATGTTTTTGGAGATAGGGGGGGCATTGACTAGCACCATTGACACATTTAAAGATAAAAATGTACCAATGGTAAAGTCTCCTTTCCTTTGCCTGCAGCCAGTTCAGTTGGTCATAAAGAATACAGTGGTGTGTCGTGAAAGGACATCTTAAAACAAATCTACAGACTGCATTATAAAGTAAATCCAGAGGTTTTAGGGTGGTTATGTTAGAACTGTGGAAAACAATGTCAGAGTAGTCCATTATTGGCAAAAGTAGTTGTTGAGCGATACGTTTTCTGGTTTCAAATGTAAAACATTCTATTGAACGATATAATTGACCCAAGCATTGCTTAATTTTTTTTCCAATGTAATCAATGTGTGGCTTAAATGTCAGCTCAGGGTCAATCCACAAGCCCAAATACCTAAAAGTGTCTACATTTGTTAAAGCTCTATCAGGAGTTATCTGAACATGGAGAGTAGGGGGGTGGGTTTTTTGATACCTTGTCTTGAACAACATTGTGCACGATTTTTTCACATTAAGAATGAGATTATGTTCTCTGAGCCATTTTTGAACACGAAAATATTTTGTATGTGAGTGACGCTGTCTTGAGATGTATAAATGACTGTATCATCAGCATATAGATGAACGTTTGAGGAAGAGCACACTTTGGGCAATTCGTTAATATATAACGAGAAAAGGAGTGGACCCAGTGATGAGCCTTGGGGCACTCCTTTTTCCATGAATGTGCAACTTGATTCAGTGTTTTGTATTGCCACATATTGCTGTCTTCTATGTAGATATGAGTTAAACCATAATAGTGCATTTCTGTCTAATCCCACTGAGTAAAGCTTATCTAATAATAAATAGTGGTCCACGGTGTCAAATGCTTTAGAGAAATCAATGAAAATGGCACCAGTAGGTTTCCCATGATCAAAAGCTGTAAAAACATCATTTGTAAATTTTAATTGTGCTGTAGTTGTTGAATGATTAGGCCTGAATCCAGATTGTGATGATGTTAGTATACCATTTTCTTCAATATATTTACTCAACTGATTAAAAATAATCTTCTCAAATATTTTTTGTATTGTAGAAATGATAGAAATAGGCCTGTAGTTATTCAAATCATTTGGTTCTCCTCCTTTGAAAACAGGTGTTACTCTTGCTAGTTTCCATAGAGGAGGAAGTGAGTTTGTGGAAATTGATAGATTATATAATTCAGCCAGGGGGAACATCAAGATGTGAGATGCATGTTTTATAAATTTAGATTCAATGCCATCTGGTCCAGTACTAGCAGTTAAATTTAACTTTGTAATTGTTTGTAGTACGTCCCATGGTGTGATAACTTTAAATGAGAATAAATGTTGTGGTTTAGAATTCAGAAATGTTGCTTCTGAATAAGGGGTGGTATTTGCCTGAGAAATTGAAGAGAAGTATTCATTTAAGTTGTTTGCAATGTCCTCCGGGTCTGTTATGATGTTATTATTGACTTGCAATTGCTTTATTTGCTGTTTGTTCTTTTTATTTAGAATAGTGTTGATTTGGTCCCAGAATTGTTTTGGGTTATTAAAACATTTAGTTGTGCAATTTTTATAGTAATCTGACCTTGCATTCCTTGTCCTAGTTGTACTTGTATTACGCAGCTGTTTATAAGTTTCCCAGTCTCTTGGATCTTTACTGGTACGATATTTAGCCCATGCAGCATCTCTCTGTTTATAAAGGGAGATAAGTTCAGAACTGATCCAGGCACTCCGATTTCCTTTCACTCTAATAGTTTTATATGGAGCATGTTTATTAATCACTTCCATGACCTCTGTGTGGAAGAAGTCCCACGCTTCATTTACTGTTGGTATGAGTGAGAGTCTGTTCCATTCAATGTTATTTATATCATAGTTGAAGTGGTCAACATTTAAATATTTGCACTGTCTGAAAGTAATATATTTAGGCGTGGATTTTAACATTCTAATTTTCCATACACAAAAAATTATTGAGTGGTCTCTAAGACAATCAGACATAACTCCAGATGTAACTATCCTTTCTGGGTTAGTCACAAGTATCCAGTCAAGAAGAGTTGCAGTCTGTAGATTTACTCTTGTGGGTTCATTGATTAGTTGTGTTAAATTTAAGCTGCTGATGAGATTCCGTTCACTTATTGAAGAGCGGTCAAGCCAGTTATTATTGAAATCTCCTAAGATAATTAATTCATGATGTTTGTCCAGAGAACAAATAGTGGACAGTATATTTGGCATTGAGCCAGAGGGAGCAGATGGCGGCCTGTATATTGTACCTATAAGTATTGATTTATTTGTGTGTAGGTAAATATTAGTGAAAATGCATTCAAAATGTATAGGTTCAACTTTAGGATTAACAGGCTGGGAGTTCAAGTTTACACTCACGTATGTAGCCACTCCCCCACCTCTGGATTCTCTGTCCATCCTAAACAGTGTATAGCCTTCTATTTCTACTTCATTGCTACTGATATCACTGTGAAGCCATGTTTCAGAGAGGGTTATTATGTCAGGCTTGTTGTAACTGACCCATGCTCGGAGAAGGACAATTTTAGATTTTAGGCTTCTGATGTTAAGATGAATTATTTTGAGTCCTTTATAGGATTTCATGTCTGTCATCCTGACTATTACCTAAGAACTGGTGGGTAGGATCTGGATTGGGCATTTGGTGTGGATAAGAGCATTGGTCTGGGAGTGAGCAAAACATAAAACAAATAAAACAGCAAACACACAACACATAACATAAAGAGCAGAGCATTAGGTATGCACTGTATGACCTTCATTTTTCGTTACTGTGCCAGACTGCTGCCATTGCAGTACATAAATCATAATAAACATTAAGAATCCACCTTAACAATGTGATCAGAGAGATCCACCTTAACGAAATCACATCAGGTTTTGCGACACTCGAGTTGTGGCAAATAACGTTCAGATCAGTCACGCTTGTTTTATTAATGAAAAACTCTTCAAAACAAAGGAAGGCAACGTGAAGAGGAGTCACATTTTCCGAAAGTAAATATCTTCAGCTCGAACAGGATACAGTTACTCACGCAGTCTCATGGCGTTGTTGTCAAATCAAAGAAGTTCTCGGCATCTTTGGCGCAGAGGAAAACTTTGGGTTTGTCATCCACAGTGACTTTCAGGGTGCACGGATACAGTAATGAGTACCTGTAACCCAAGGCGCGGAGTTTCTTTTTGACTGCGTCAAATTGCTTGCGTTTTTTGACTAGGTCGGCGCTAAAGTCTGGGTAGATATGGATCCGTGTCCCCTCGTACTCAAGTCCCTTTTTTTCCCTGGCCAGTCGTAGTATTTTAGTTTTGTCCAGATAGTGTAGAAACTTGGCGATGATGGGCCTCGGCACTCCCGGTTTTTTGCTTGCACTAAAAGAGGGCGTGCGATGTGCTCTTTCTATCACCGGAGTTATGGTGAAGTTGTCACAACCAAGTAGGCCGAAGATCAACTTGGTTAGGAACCCAATCATGTCCTCTCCTTCACTCCGTTCTGGTACGTTGATAAAACGAAGATTATTCATGCGGCTCCTGTTCTCCGCGTCGTCGATCTTCTCCCTCAGGTATGTGTTGTCACTCTCAAGTGTTTGCACTCTTTTCATCAAGTCGTCAACATTGTCCTCGTTGGTACTCACTCGCTGCTCTAGCTCAGATATCTGGTCACCGAGCGATGCAAGAGATCCTTGTATGTTACTGAGACATGAATGTAGAGGTTCAATTTTGGCATCGATATGAGCAGCCATTTCCTCCTTGCTTTGTTGGATTGCTGCAAGGATTGTTTGCATATGCATCTCAGCCATTTGTGACGCTTTGTGTTACACAAACTTTCCTGATCACTTCAATACTTGTTGAAATAATTGTATCTGTGAGGTGTTCTCAGGTTTGATGCGTTTTGGATCTTTAAATTAAGGCAGCAGTCTGGGACCTCCTTGAGCACAGCTAGTCCACTGCGGCCATATTGGGTTATAATATAAAGTCTCCTCCGTGAACACATACTGCTGTTATATAAAGTCACCTCCGTGAACACATACTGCTGTTATATAAAGTCAACTCCGTGAACACATACTGCTGTTATATAAAGTCACCTCCATGAACACATACTGCTGTTATATATTTCTCCAGTGCTTTCAACACCATCCAGCCGAGGCTTCTCAGGGACAAGATGGAGACAGCCGGTGTGGACTACGACCTGTCCCAGTGGATCCTGGACTACCTCACAGACAGACCCCAGTTTGTGAGAACCAGGGACTTTGTGTCTGAGGTCCTGACCTGCAGTGTGGGGGCCCCCCAGGGGACAGTCCTCGCGCCGTTCCTCTTCACCCTCTACACTGCGGACTTCAGACACAACACAGACGGTTGTGTTCTACAGAAGTTCTCTGACGACTCTGCCATCATCAGACTCAGCTCCGAGGACGATGACACAGAGTACAGAGGAGTTATACAGGACTTTGTGGACTGGTGTCAGCGGAACCACCTCCTCATCAACGTGAGGAAGACCAAGGAGATGAACCACCTCCTCATCAACGCGGGGAAGACCAAGGAGATGAACCACCTCCTCATCAACGCAGGGAAGACCAAGGAGATGAACCACCTCCTCATCAACGTGAGGAAGACCAAGGAGATGAACCACCTCCTCATCAACGCAGGGAAGACCAAGGAGATGAACCACCTCCTCATCAACGCGGGGAAGACCAAGGAGATGAACCACCTCCTCATCAACGCAGGGAAGACCAAGGAGATGAACCACCTCCTCATCAACGTGAGGAAGACCAAGGAGATGAACCACCTCCTCATCAACGTGAGGAAGACCAAGGAGAAGAACCACCTCCTCATCAACGTGAGGAAGACCAAGGAGATGAATCACCTCCTCATCAACGTGAGGAAGACCAAGGAGATGAACCACCTCCTCATCAACGCAGGGAAGACCAAGGAGATGAACCACCTCCTCATCAACGTGAGGAAGACCAAGGAGATGAACCACCTCTTCATCAACGTGAGGAAGACCAAGGAGAAGAACCACCTCCTCATCAACGTGAGGAAGACCAAGGAGATGAATCACCTCCTCATCAACGTGAGGAAGACCAAGGAGATGAACCACTTCCTCATCAACGCAGGGAAGACCAAGGAGATGAACCACCTCCTCATCAACGCGAGGAAGACCAAGGAGATGAACCACCTCCTCATCAACGTGAGGAAGACCAAGGAGATGAACCACCTCCTCATCAACGTGAGGAAGACCAAGGAGATGAACCACCTCCTCATCAACGCGGGGAAGACTAAGGAGATGGACCACCTCCTCATCAACGTGAGGAAGACCAAGGAGATGAACCACCTCCTCATCAACGCAGGGAAGACCAAGGAGATGAATCACCTCCTCATCAACGTGAGGAAGACCAAGGAGATGAACCACCTCCTCATCAACGTGAGGAAGACCAAGGAGATGAACCACCTCCTCATCAACGCGAGGAAGACCAAGGAGATGAACCACCTCCTCATCAACGCGGGGAAGACTAAGGAGATGGACCACCTCCTCATCAACGTGAGAAAGACCAAGGAGATGAACCACCTCCTCATCAACGCGGGGAAGACCAAGGAGATAAATCACCTCCTCATCAACGTGAGGAAGACCAAGGAGATGAACCACCTCCTCATCAACGTGAGGAAGACTAAGGAGATGGACCACCTCCTCATCAACGTGAGGAAGACCAAGGAGATGAACCACCTCCTCATCAACGCAGGGAAGACCAAGGAGATGAATCACCTCCTCATCAACGTGAGGAAGACCAAGGAGATGAACCACCTCCTCATCAACGTGAGGAAGACCAAGGAGATGAACCACCTCCTCATCAACGTGAGGAAGACCAAGGAGATGAACCACCTCCTCATCAACGTGAGGAAGACCAAGGAGATGAACCACCTCCTCATCAACGTGAGGAAGACCAAGGAGATGAACCACCTCCTCATCAACGCGAGGAAGACCAAGGAGATGAACCACCTCCTCATCAACGCGGGGAAGACTAAGGAGATGGACCACCTCCTCATCAACGTGAGGAAGACCAAGGAGATGAACCACCTCCTCATCAACGCGGGGAAGACCAAGGAGATAAATCACCTCCTCATCAACGTGAGGAGACCAAGGAGATGAACCACCTCCTCATCAACGTGAGGAAGACTAAGGAGATGGACCACCTCCTCATCAACGTGAGGAAGACCAAGGAGATGAACTACCTCCTCATCAACGCAGGGAAGACCAAGGAGATGAATCACCTCCTCATCAACGTGAGGAAGACCAAGGAGATGAACCACCTCCTCATCAACGTGAGGAAGACCAAGGAGATGAACCACCTCCTCATCAACGTGAGGAAGACCAAGGAGATGAACCACCTCCTCATCAACGTGAGGAAGACCAAGGAGATGAACCACCTCCTCATCAACGTGAGGAAGACCAAGGAGATGAAGCACCTCCTCATCAACGCAGGGAAGACCAAGGAGATGAACCACCTCCTCATCAACGTGAGGAAGACCAAGGAGATGAACCACCTCCTCATCAACGCAGGGAAGACCAAGGAGATGAATCACCTCCTCATCAACGTGAGGAAGACCAACGAGATGAACCACCTCCTCATCAACGTGGTGGAAGACCAAGGAGATGAACCACCTCCTCATCAACGTGAGGAAGACCAACGAGATGAACCACCTCCTCATCAACGTGAGGAAGACCAAGGAGATGAACCACCTCCTCATCAACGCGGGGAAGACTAAGGAGATGGACCACCTCCTCATCAACGTGAGGAAGACCAAGGAGATGAACCACCTCCTCATCAACGCAGGGAAGACCAAGGAGATGAATCACCTCCTCATCAACGTGCGGAAGACCAAGGAGATGAACCACCTCCTCATCAACGCGGGGAAGACCAAGGAGATGAACCACCTCCTCATCAACGTGAGGAAGACCAAGGAGATGAACCACCTCCTCATCAACGCAGGGAAGACCAAGGAGATGAATCACCTCCTCATCAACGTGCGGAAGACCAAGGAGATGAACCACCTCCTCATCAACGTGAGGAAGACCAAGGAGATGAACCACCTCCTCATCAACGTGAGGAAGACCAAGGAGATGAACCACCTCCTCATCAACGCGAGGAAGACCATGGAGATGAACCACCTCCTCATCAACGCGGGGAAGACCAAGGAGATGAACCACCTCCTCATCAACGCGAGGAAGACCAAGGAGATGAACCACCTCCTCATCAACGCGGGGAAGACCAAGGAGATGAACCACCTCCTCATCAACGTGAGGAAGACCAAGGAGATGAACCACCTCCTCATCAACGCGAGGAAGACCAAGGAGATGAACCACCTCCTCATCAACGCGGGGAAGACCAAGGAGATGAACCACCTCCTCATCATCGTGAGGAAGACCAAGGACATGAACCACCTCCTCATCAACGTGAGGAAGACCAAGGAGATGAACCGCCTCCTCATCAACGCGGGGAAGACCAAGGAGATGAACCACCTCCTCATCAACGTGAGGAAGACCAAGGAGATGAACCACCTCCTCATCAATGTGAGGAAGACCAAGGAGATGAACCGCCTCCTCATCAACGTGAGGAAGACCAAGGAGATGAACCACCTCCTCATCAACGTGAGGAAGACCAAGAAGATGAACCACCTTCTCATCAACGTGAGGAAGACCAAGGAGATGAACCACCTCCTCATCAACGTGAGGAAGACCAAGGAGATGAACCGCCTCCTCATCAACGTGAGGAAGACCAAGGAGATGAACCACCTCCTCATCAACGTGAGGAAGACCAAGGAGATGAACCACCTCCTCATCAACGTGAGGAAGACCAAGAAGATGAACCACCTCCTCATCAACGCGGGGAAGACTAAGGAGATGGACCACCTCCTCATCAACGTGAGGAAGACCAAGGAGATGAACCACCTCCTCATCAACGTGAGGAAGACCAAGGAGATGAACCACCTCCTCATCAACGCGGGGAAGACCAAGGAGATGAACCACCTCCTCATCAACGTGAGGAAGACCAAGGAGATGAACCACCTCCTCATCAACGTGAGGAAGACCAAGGAGATGAACCACCTCCTCATCAACGCAGGGAAGACCAAGGAGATGAACCACCTGCTCATCAACGTGAGGAAGACCAAGGAGATGAACCACCTCCTCATCAACGTGAGGAAGACCAAGGAGATGAACCACCTCCTCATCAACGTGAGGAAGACCAAGGAGATGAACCACCTCCTCATCAACGTGAGGAAGACCAAGGAGATGAACCACCTCCTCATCAACGCAGGGAAGACCAAGGAGATGAACCACCTCCTCATCAACGTGAGGAAGACCAAGGAGATGAACCACCTCCTCATCAACGTGAGGAAGACCAAGGAGATGAACCACCTCCTCATCAACGCGAGGAAGACCAAGGAGATGAACCACCTCCTCATCAACGCGAGGAAGACCAAGGAGATGAACCACCTCCTCATCAACGCGGGGAAGACCAAGGAGATGAACCACCTCCTCATCAACGTGAGGAAGACCAAGGAGATGAACCACCTCCTCATCAACGCGGGGAAGACCAAGGAGATGGTGGTGGATTTCCGCAGACGTCACTCTGCCGCTGCAGCTCCAGTGAACATCCAGGGAAAGGACATTGAGAGAGTGGACTCTTACAAGTACCTGGGTGTTCATCTGAACCACAAACTGGACTGGACTCATAACACAGACGCCCTCTTCAAGAAGGGCCAGAGTCGCCTCTACCTACTGAGGAGGCTCAGGTCTTTTGCTGCTGAGCCTGTACATTTCATTCATCTGTTCTTAAATCATGTGCAATGTGCAATACTGCAACTTCAGGATGTCACAGAACAATGTCTCTTTACCTTATGTCTCTTTACTTATCTACTTATTATATTCTTATTATATATATATTCTGACTGGTATTGAAGCATTTCCAGCATCTACAGCTAGTTATGTTAGCTAAGAAACATAGCTACTACTTATTAGTATATATTGTGTGTGCTCCCTGTGTGCTCTTACTACTGTCCTGTCTGTCGACAAATAAAGGAATTCTTATCTTATCCAATCTAAAAGGTTGAATATGATTTGTTCATGTGACCGATTACACATTTAAGACGTAAATAAAAAACAGTGAGCTGTTCCGTGACGCCAAACGCTGCTGTTGTGCACCGTTATATAACACCAAAGCAATAGATTACATGTTTAACAATGTGTGTTTACTTTGTGTGGCTGCCCAGCTCTGACCCGGAAGTTGCAGCTAAAGATGAAAGAGTCATTATAAAACTCATACTTGGAGTTGGCTTTGGTCACGTGCACTTTCCCAACCCTCCCCTCAGGCCTCTCTCACTCCTAACGTTGTTACAGAAGCCACTTCAGACAGACGGAGGTGGCCATTGTTCAATATGTGTCCATTTGTTCTGCTCCAAAGCTCATTTGTAGATTACATCGTGTCTGGGATGAGAGCTGGTGGGCAGATACAGAGCCACGTTTCATTTCCCAGTGGAGACATGTAGGAACACCCACCTGCCATCTGACTCTCACTCATGTCTCCCCCAGGAGCAGAGAGCGTAGAGAGAGCGTAGAGAGAGCGTAGGGAGAGCGTAGGGAGAGCGTAGAGAGAGCGTAGAGAGAGAGAGCGTAGAGAGAGCGTAGAGAGAGAGAGCGTAGGGAGAGCGTAGAGAGAGAGCGAGAGAGAGAGAGAGGTAGAGAGAGCGTAGAGAGAGCGTAGAGAGAGAGAGCGTAGAGAGAGCGTAGAGAGAGAGAGCGTAGGAGAGCGTAGAGAGAGCGTAGAGAGAGAGAGCGTAGAGAGAGCGTAGAGAGAGCGTAGAGAGAGCGTAGGGAGAGCGTAGAGAGAGCGTAGAGAGAGAGAGAGCGTAGAGAGAGCGTAGAGAGAGCGTAGAGAGAGCGTAGAGAGAGCGTAGAGAGAGCGTAGAGAGAGAGAGAGCGTAGAGAGAGCGTAGAGAGAGCGTAGAGAGAGCGTAGAGAGAGAGAGCGTAGAGAGAGCGTAGAGAGAGCGTAGAGAGAGAGAGCGTAGAGAGAGCGTAGAGAGAGCGTAGAGAGAGAGAGCGTAGAGAGAGCGTAGAGAGAGAGAGCGTAGAGAGAGCGTAGAGAGAGCGTAGAGAGAGCGTAGAGAGAGAGAGCGTAGGGAGAGCGTAGAGAGAGCGTAGAGAGAGCGTACGGAGGCATGTGCCGGCAGACCATGTGGCTGCAGACCATGTGGCTGCAGACCATGTGACGGCAGACCATGTGGCTGCAGACCATGTGACGGCAGACCATGTGGCTGCAGACCATGTGGCTGCAGACCATGTGACGGCAGACCATGTGGCTGCAGACCATGTGGCTGCAGACCATGTGGCTGCAGACCATGTGACGGCAGACCATGTGGCTGCAGACCATGTGGCTGCAGACCATGTGGCTGCAGACCATGTGACGGCAGACCATGTGGCTGCAGACCATGTGGCGGCAGACCATGTGACGGCAGACCATGTGACGGCAGACCATGTGGCTGCAGACCAGGTTACTGAAATATGTGTTAAAATACAGTTATGTAAAAGTGTAAAAGTGTGTGGAAGTGCGAGTATTGGGATTGGGCCTATCACTCAGAAAACCTTCCCGGCTGACGCCATCTTGGGAGCTCTATGAAAACAGACCTGGGCAAACTGCGGCGGTTGGAAGAAGCAAATACTTACATTTGCATAATATTACAGACGCACCAGCAGAACTCAGGTGTGATGTGGGGTTCTTTATATCTATAGTACTTTTATCCCCACACAGATTACAACAGACACTGACATTTGTGACCATCATGATTTATGTTGCCCATTGCTTTTGAGATTTTGTGTGATTGTGTTTTTGATATAAAGTGTTTAGAGTTGAAAAGAATATAGCTCTATATATACTTTATTAAATAACCCACAATTATTAAAATCCACTGTATGTTTAAAGGCCGTATAACCCTCACCACACACTCTACAGGCTTTTCTAATCACCTGAACTCACGACTGAAGTGCGATTACGGAGATATTAAACCTGTGTGTTGTGGGTCTGAGTGCTGCTACAGCTGTCAAAAGCCGTGCATCCACTTTAAAATACAGAGGCAGAGAACACCGCGCTGAGGAGCAGGAGCAGGACTGACCTTATAATATGACCTTAGAATATATAGAACATATAGATCATATGGAAACTATTGAACATATAGCACATATCGAACATATCGAACATATAGTATAGAATATATAGAACATATTGAACATATAGAACATATTGAAAATATAGAACATATTGAACATATAGATCATATTGAACATATAGTACATATTGAACATATTGAACATATTGAACATATTGAACATATTGAACATATAGAACATATTGAACATATTGAACATATAGAACATATTGAACATATAGAACATATAGAACATATTGAACATATTGAACATATAGAACATATTGAACATATTGAACATATTGAACATATTGAACATATTGAACATATTGAACATATAGAACATATTGAACATATTGAACATATAGAACATATTGAACATATTGAACATATAGAACATATTGAACATATTGAACATATAGAACATATTGAACATATTGAACATATTGAACATATTGAACATATAGAACATATTGAACATATTGAACATATTGAACATATAGAACATATTGAACATATAGAACATATAGAACATATTGAACATATTGAACATATAGAACATATAACATGAACATATTGAACATATTGAACATATTGAACATATTGAACATATTGAACATATAGAACATATTGAACATATTGAACATATAGAACATATTGAACATATAGAACATATTGAACATATTGAACATATAGAACATATTGAACATATAGAACATATTGAACATATTGAACATATAGAACATATTGAACATATTGAACATATTGAACATATTGAACATATTGAACATATAGAACATATTGAACATATAGAACATATTGAACATATTGAACATATAGAACATATTGAACATATTGAACATATAGAACATATTGAACATATAGAACATATTGAACATTGAAATATTGAACATATAGAACATATTGAACATATTGAACATATAGAACATATAGAACATATGAACATATTGAACATATAGAACATATAGAACATATTGAACATATAGAACATATTGAACATATGAACATATTGAACATATTGAACATATTGAACATATTGAACATATTGAACATATAGAACATATTGAACATATTGAACATATAGAACATATTGAACATTGAACATATGAACATATAGAACATATTGAACATATTGAACATATAGAACATATTGAACATATAGAACATATTGAACATATTGAACATATAGAACATATAGAACATATTGAACATATTGAACATATAGAACATATTGAACATATAGAACATATTGAACATATAGAACATATTGAACATATAGAACATGAACATATTGAACATATAGAACATATTGAACATATGAACATATTGAACATATTGAACATATAGAACATATTGAACATATTGAACATATGACATATAGAACATATTGAACATATTGAACATATAGAACATATTGAACATATAGAACATATTGAACATATAGAACATATTGAACATATAGAACATATTGAACATATTGAACATATTGAACATATAGAACATATTGAACATATAGAACATATAGAACATATTGAACATATAGAACATATTGAACATATTGAACATATTGAACATATAGAACATATAGAACATATTGAACATATTGAACATATAGAACATATTGAACATATTGAACATATAGAACATATTGAACATATAGAACATATTGAACATATAGAACATATTGAACATATTGAACATATAGAACATATTGAACATATTGAACATATAGAACATATTGAACATATTGAACATATGAACATATAGAACATATTGAACATATAGAACATATTGAACATATAGAACATATTGAACATATAGAACATATTGAACATATATTGAACATATTGAACATATATAGAACATATTGAACATATAGAACATATAGAACATATTGAACATATAGAACATATTGAACATATTGAACATATAGAACATATTGAACATATTGAACATATAGAACATATAGAACATATTGAACATATAGAACATATTGAACATATTCAATCAATCAATCAATCAATCAAATTTTATTTATAAAGCGCTTTTCATACAAAAAGTGTAACACAAAGTGCTTTACAGTTTAGTTAAAAACAATCCAACATGCCCAGCCCTAAACCCTCCTCCCCACAGACCCCCCAAAATCACATTTATAATTATGTATACAATACACACACCCACACACACACACACACACACACACACACACACACACACACACATATACACAAGTATAAAGTCATATCAGGTAAAATAGGTAAAACAATAAAAAGAAATGGGGCTGGGAGCAGATGTAACCGGCTGAAGAAGCGTCATCCAAGGAGCCATCTGCACCAGGAGCAGAGAGCCGGCTGCAGCCACAGGCAACGACACAGGACCCAGAGGAGAGAGGAGGCCCAGGACTCAGACCCCATAGGACCCAGAGGAGAGAGGAGGCCCCAGACCCCCACCGGATCCAAGAGCCAGTCCCCCGAAGCCACAGCAGACCCCAGCTCTCAGTGCAGAGGGCTCCTCCAGAGGAAACACTGGGGACACTAAAACAATACAATAATACAATAGAAAGTAGAACAATAGAATGTGAAAATAAAAAGAAAAATGGCAGCTGCCTAATATAATAACAATAGTAAATGGGTAGATACAATAAATAATTAAAAATAGTAAATAATAAAAATAAATAAAAATATAATCCGTCTAAAAACATAAATAGATGTACTAAAAAGCAATAATAGATAATAAATACTAATCAAAAGCTGCTCTAAAAAGGTGCGTCTTGAGCCTACTCTTAAAAATATGAACGCTCTCTGCGGCCCTGAGCTCCTCCTCAGACTGTTCCAGAGACGGGGGCCGTAGTGCTGGAAAGATGCCTCGCCGTGAGTGTGTGTCCTGACTTTGGGGATAGTTAGGAGTCTGCTGCCGGAGGAGCGCAGGGGCCGGGAAGGCTCATAGGATAAAAGCAAATCTGAAAGATAAGAAGGCCCAAGACCATTAAGACATTTAAAGACCATTAAAAGAACCTTAAAATCGATCCTGAAACACACGGGGAGCCAATGCAGCGATTTTAAAACCGGTGTAATGTGGTCCCGCCCCCTGGTCTTAGTCAGGACACGTGCGGCCGAGTTTTGAAGTAATTGTAAACCTGAAATGTTCTTTTTGGGAAGACCAGAGAGCAGGGCATTACAGTAGTCAATGCGACTGGTGATAAAAGCATGCATCAGCGTCTCCGTGTTGGCCCGAGAGAGAATGGGGCGGACTCTGGCGATGTTCTTTAAATGATAAAAACCTATTTTTGTGATGTTCTTGATGTGAGGAATAAAAGTCAGCTCAGAGTCAAAGATTACGCCCAGGTTTTTCACTTGTGATGATGGATTAAAAGAGTGTGATT